TGCTCATCTGCAGCACCACAGTAAAAAGGCTTCTATTCCTTTAAGTGATGCAGTTTCTTGGTCACTCACAAGATGGCGGCTTGCACTGTGATATTATTAGACTGTGATACACAGTATATGCAGTCTATCAAGGGTTGTATAGCAGGTAATACATATTCGCACGGAAGTATATTTGGTTTATAATCCAGGGGTGATAATCTCTCACATGCTGAAGTGTTCCCATTGAGGTAGAAACAATGTGGTCAGTTGTACAATTACTCAGTAAGATAACTCATGTATCCAAGTGCAAACAAAGAATAAAGATGGCTAGCTGGGGAGCCCAGGTTGCCATCTACAGAATGAAGGGAAAAGGGAATAAGGAGATGGGGAGAATGAGGTCTACGTGGAGGTATTGCAGAGAAAGCCTTACAGTATCAGGGACATAGCGGTTGTTAGGTTAAAAGAAGGAGTGCAGCATCTGAGGGAGGTAGTGACAAACACATGGGGGCCAGCAAGATACCCTTCCATTGTTGCAGACATGTAACCTGGTATGGTTCAGGAGGGGGGACTGTGCAATTTCAACCCATAACGCCCCCTCCCCAGCCCCCCCCCCCCCCCCCACACACACACATGTCCTGGTCCCCCAGACTGCATGACTAGATAAGGATTTGGTGTAAATTACAAGCAGAGACCACATGCTTTTTTTTTAAGGCACAGTCCAAGTTTCATAGGATATACATACTTATTTACTATGGTTGCCTGCTCCATCTAGTAGCCATACTGCAGCATTTTACTTACCCATGCAACCATGCAACTCATGTAACTTGCAGCCTAGAGAGCCTTGAACTCCGCTGGCATTTACACAGAACGAATGTACATGTAGGTTAGCAGGACGACTAGCTCAGCAGATGTTTTTTTTTTTAAATGCACCCCTTAACGTTTCACCTTTGCTTTGTGGTGTAAAAATAAAGTGGGCATTAAACTGTAAAAGGCCAGAACTTGAAAATTAAAAAAAATTATCTTTGCAGTGTCTAAGGCAGACTGCCAAATTGCCAGATCAGAACATCTTAGCAAAATAGAGGAAGAAATCATTGGAAGGAAATGCCTCACCATTATTCGTATGATGTACAGGTGCTGTCTAGCAAAGTATAAAAAATTAAACAAGCCAAAGAAAGCAATTTTAGTAAACTGAATTTCAGATTTGTTATGAGTTTGCTTTCTGAAGAAGAACTTGATAATGTTCAGAAATGGAATAATCATTTATATATTGAAATGCTACATACTTAGCAAATGCAAACTTTAGTTACTGATAATATTTATTACAGGGCATTTTGTAAATGCATACAGAAAATGGCACAAATGTGCAGCTATTTTTAATTATTCTTTACATTTACAGATACATTGGGGATTGCCTACTTCCCCTGTATGATTCTCTGCTATTGTGGGGTTTGAGTGATTATTAGTAACTGTTCTCATGATATAATAAAATGTTGTTTCTATCTCTCCTCAAGCAGGCTAATTATTGTTTTCCAAATAACTTTTTAAACACTATTAAACACAATGAAGTTGCACGATTTCAAAGTCGGATGATTGTTGTCTTATATTAATTGGAGGATGATGGACCAGTGTATATTTATAAATGTATTTTCCTGCAGCACCTAGTCGAACAGTTCTTTTCCAGAGAGATGCATTTATTTGGATAAAGATATTTGTTAAAGATGACAAAAAATGCAGAGTCCCATTTAAAACTGATAATATATGCCTAGGTAGCTTCCATGTGTGCAATAATGCAAGTTATGATCTATACCTGTGCTTCCATATTAATGACAGAAAGAAGCTCCTCTCCCAGTCAAAATAACTTCCCTTGAAATACAGTTTACTGGAGGGGTTATTGATTGACTGACAAAACACTTTTGATCTTACATGAACAGACTTCACTTGCCATTACTGTAAATAAAAATTAAGGTCACTATAGTGTTTACCAGGTACACAAGTCACCCTTTCATCATTTCCCATGAATATACCCCCCCCCCCCAACTCTAATTACCATACCCTTTGAAATGTCTAATTAGATAGACAGGCCATTCCCCAAATACTATGGTGACCTTGCGTTAAAGTAACATAACAAATAGCTCTTTTGATGTGTAAAGTGGTCTTGTCACTGGCCTCTCCAAGAATGAACAGCTTGTGTTTCAATATCTTCAATATCTATCTATTTATTTACACACAATATACTACATATTCCCCCACTTGGATCGGTTCTACCGAGAACTGATCCATAAATAGTGAACATATATTATCAACTAGCAGGGTTGCATTGTGATTTGAGGTATTGAATGCTTCATAATGGCTCATATAAACAATGAAATTGAAACTGATTACATCTCTCTTCAACAGCCTCTAAAATATTCCTGTGAATCATTTATTAGATAATATGACTTTAGACCATGACAAGCAAAGGATTTGTTAAACATCAGTGGCCCATATAGCTGTAAGGCCTATTCCATGGCTTGTAGTTTCTTCAGTATATCACACCACAGTCATGAGTATTGCATAATGCTAAGCAAATGTCACAGTCCAGTTCTGTGTTTGATTGTGTACACGAGTCATCTTTCGCCATCTTACTGAAAGTAATTGCTTAGTCCACTGAAAATAATTGCTCCAATCCACATAAATCCAGGATTTTCTCCATTCAATACACAGGGGTTTTCATTTTTAAAGATGAATTGATAAATTGTAGCAATCTTCATCACAAATCCAAAATAAAACTTCCCGCCAGCAGTGATTAGCTTTCACCATTTTGCTGTAGGTCGACCCCCCCCCCCCCCCCCCACATTGCCTTCAATAGAGCAGTTACTGTGATCATTCAGTATATAATTCCACTGAACAGAATCCTAAAATGGTTTAGATAGTATCAACTTGACATTAATGCTTATCAGATCATCTGTCCAGACAAACCAGCAGAAGAAATTCTCAACAGTATCTTTGCCATGAAAGTAGAAAGCTCTTTACATCCATATATGTCATAGCCTTCGGCATATTATAAATAACTGATTCAATAAAATTCAAATTCTGACTGGAGTGATAACTTTCACTCACACCTCTTATAAATGTAGAGAAAGCCACCCAAAGTATTATATTCTTAACTTATTCTACCCAGTCTGAGCATCAGTATGCAAATACTCAGGCACTCAATAAGTTATGCTATGCAAAGCCATTGTGTAGCATCTCACCACAGGAGTTACATGTATACAGATGGTTTTAAAATGATTATCAGGTTTAAATGCCTCTCTCTGGTTTTAAGACAAAGATCAAGAGATAAAAGACAATGAAAATAAGAGGAGAAAAAAAATGAAAGAAAATAGAAAAAAAAGAATGGTAGAAAAAAAAAAAAAAAAAAATCACAATGTAAAATCAATTGCTTGATGACTATTGAAAGAGTCCATTATTCTTAAAGTCCTCGTAATTAATTTTATAGAGGCGTCAATGCAAAATAAGACATTTGCTTGTTCTCCCCCACTAGCAAAACAGTTTCACATAAATTGTGTAGATTTCTCATCCAACTGTCTTTCACTTGCAAACGAGTATTTCTGGTCACACAGATTCACACCTCTTCAACATCTGAAAGACAAGAAATTCTCAATCAAAGGTTCATTAGCCAAGTCCTTAAACACTGTGTTTGAAAATAATACAAGGTACTATTTACATCTTTACAGTTTCAAGCTAATTCACCCCCACTGCCTTAGAGGTCTAATTTGCATTCAAAGACAGATCTGCAGGACCCCCACCTCCTGCTGTCCCTGTACTTCTAGCATCTTCTAATTTTTTCAGTTGATCCCATAATATGTACTTTTCTACCTTTATTTTATCATATTACATTTTCAAATGGTAATTTTCCTGTTTCAACTGAGAAAATGGTATCCAGGTCTTAGTGTTTACCAGGTACACAAGTCACCCTTTCACCATTTTCCATGAATACCCCCTGAATTCTAATTACCATACCCTTTGAAATGTCTAATTAGATAAACAGGCTATTCCCCAAATACCAAGGTAACCTTGCGTAAAATTAACATAGCAAAGAGTTCATTTGATGTGTAAAGTGGTCTTGTCACTGGCCTGTCCAAGAATGAACAGTATGTGTTTCAATATCTTCTATATAAATATATATATATATATATTACACAGAATATACTACAATGATATGCTGAATTGAGGTGCGATTAGCAAGATATCTGACACAGATGTCTCTCAGATTGTAAGGAGCAGGGTCCTCTTAACCCTCTTGTATTGAACTGTATCACTGATGTATTGTCTCCCCTGAGCAAACTATTCCTGCTATATAAATCCTGTATAATAAGTAATAATAATAATGTCTATGCAAATCGCACCAATAGTGAGCACGCACTACTTTAGAAATCGGCACGGCTCTGACCAAGTCAGAACTACACTGATATGACCGCTGTAATTGCAGACAATAGGGTAAAACGTGCCATGCAATTTGCAAGTCGTATGGCATGCAAATCACATGCCATGTCGCACCTGGAGAGGCTATGGTCTAACAATTTTGAATCTACAAATTCCAGGTGCCTAGGTATTAATAAAGTTTAGAGAACTACCGTATTTTCCGGCGCATAAGACGACTTTTTAACCCATGAAAATCTTCTCAAAAGTCGGGGGTCGTCTTATACACCGGTATACGGCATGCTGACACTTGGCGGCACTTTTTAGGGGGGCGGCGCGGTGCCGCCGCCCCCCCTTCCAACGTAAGTAAAGGGGCGGGTAGGGGGCTGCTGTTTCTTACCTTGCTCTGGTCCCAGTCCCACGACGATCCAGTCCAGGAAGCGCGGCTGCTCCTTCATTCAGTTCGGCCGCTCGATGTTCGCCGTCCGCTCGGCTTCACCTCCTCACCGGTGATTGTGCGCCAGAACTGTTACTCAGGAAAGGCACACAGGCGGCCAATCACCGGCGAGGAGGCGGAGCCGAGCAGCCCCGCGAAAATCGAGTGAGGGAGCGGCCGGTAAGTGTGCCGTGCAGAGGTGCTGCTGCAACCACATATGTTGGCTGCAGCAGCACCATGCTGGAACAGGGGTCAGCAAGTGTCATTGGTGTCAGTGGGAGGAATAGTGCCCCATCATTGGTGTCACTGATACTAATGATGGGGCATTATTCCTCCCACTGACACAAACGATGATGCACTATTCCTCCCCCCACTGACACCAACGATGGGGCACTATTCCTCCCCCCCACTGACACCAATGATGGGGCACTATTCCTCCTCCCCACTGACACCAATGATGGGGCACTATTCCTCCCCCCCTGACACCAACGATGGGGCACTATTCCACCCGCCACTGACACCAATGATGGAACACTATTCCTTCCCCCACTGACACCAACGATGGGGCACTATTCCTCCTCCCCACTGACACCAATGATGGGCCACAATTTCCTCCCCCCCCCACTGACACCAACGCTGGGGCACTATTCCACCAACGATGGGGCACTATTCCACCCCCCACTGACACCAATGATGGAACACTATTCCTTCCCCCACTGACACCAATGATGGGGTACTATTCCTCCCACTGATGCCAATGTTGGGACACTATTCCTCCCACTGACACCAATTACGGGGCACACTATTCCTCCCACTGACACCAATGATGGAGCACGATTCCTCCCACTGACACCAAAGATGGGGCACTATTCCCCCCACTGATACTAATGATGGGGGTACTATTCCTCCCACTGATACCAATGATGGGGTACTATTCCTCCCACTGACACCAATGTTGGGACACTATTCCTCCCACTGACACCAATGACGGGGCACTATTCCTCCCACTGACACCAATGACGGGGCATGATTCCTCCCACTGACACCAAAGATGGGGCACGATTCCTCCCACTGACACCAAAGATGGGGCACTATTCCCCCCACTGATACTAATGATGGGGTACTATTCCTCCCACTGATACCAATGATGGGGTACTATTCCTCCCACTGACACCAATGTTGGGACACTATTCCTCCCACTGACACCAATGATGGGGCACTATTCCTCCCACTGACACCAATGACGGGGCATGATTCCTCCCACTGACACCAAAGATGGGGCACGATTCCTCCCACTGACACCAATGATGGGGCGCTATTCCTCCCACTGACACCAATGATGGGGTGCTATTCCTCCCACTGACACCAATGATGGGGCACGATTCGTCGCTCTGATACCAATGATGGGGCACGATTTGTCGCTCTGACACCAATGATGGGGCACTATTCCTCCCACTGATACCAATGATGGGACACTATTCCTCCCACTGACACCAATGATGGGGCATGATTTTTCCCACTGACACCAATGATGGGGCACTATTTCTCCCACTGACACTGATGGAGTACTATTCCTCCCACTGACACTAATGATGGGACACTATTCCTCACACACTGACACTAATGATGGGGCACCATCATTGGTGTCACTGGGAGGAATAGTGTCCCTTCATTGGTGTCAGTGGGAGGAATAGTGCCCCATCATTGGTGTCAGAGCGAGGAATCGTGCCCCATCATTGGTGTCAGTGGGAGGAATAGCACCCCATCATTGGAATACCATACTGAAATACCATACCATATTGAAATCAAATCTGATGTTTTTTAATTTTTATTTGGTGTGCGTTGGAAGAAGGGTAGTCTTATACGGCGAGTATAGCCCAAACCCTATATTTTAACAGGAAAAGTAGGGGGTCGTGTTATACGCCAGAAAATACGGTATATAAATAGTTTACTCCGTTTACAGGAATCTTCTTTACATTTACGTATTTTCCTACAAAGCCATTATTTTGCTTTGAGTTATAAATACATTTTAACCATACAATATATTATTAGAACATCTATTATACAGTATTTTTTCACATTATGTGTAATAACAAACATTATAGCACAAAAGACTATAGCATTGCATAAAGCATGAAAAGAACCAGTTTGAATATATTACTGCCGATTATTGCAAAGCTGATGTCTTGCTAATATAAAATAAATCCTGTCTGGCACAAATATCCCACTTACCTTAACTGACTTCGATAACATTTTCTGATTCACAGAGTCACAGTAATAATATCAATTTAGCATTCTGAAAACCTCTTACAATTTATCAAATATTTGATTTACATTTCATAATAATTTCATGGCATTCATGAACATGAAATTCAACCTCTAGTGTGGTGCCTACTCTTGTCTGTCTCATTATCACAATGGATTCTATCTCTTGTGTAATTAAAACGTATAATTTAATTCACTAGAATAGGTATGACAAAATTAGTATAATTATTGTAGTGCTTTGTTTGGAATGTTGTGTATCATGGCTTGTTGATTTATATGTTGAATAAATATAGACTGGTATTGTTAAACAAAAAAAAACACTAAACATTTTTTTCTTTAAATACAGGCTTTCTGTGTTCAAATTGCATTGCTTATTGGCTTTAAACACAACAATATGTGTACAGGGTAGCTATAATTGTGTGTCATTTTTTTGTCATTCTATTCAACAGTAAGGGAAAAATTAGCAGCTCTCTGAAATATGAAAGTCTTTAAAATAGATGTGATCGAAAAAAGCAAGGGAATATTAAAATGTATGTCAGGGCAAGATACAAAAATAAATCAGCATATCCAATCCATGCTCATTTCCCAGTGTTTTATCCCTGTGTTGCAAAAAATAAAATCAAAGAAAAACATTGATCTGCCAGAAATCCAGTGTTCTCCCAACTTCCTGTTTGGGCTGACTCCACGCTGCCATTGTTAAACTTTAAAGTGATTGTAAACCCTTACCTTGTAAAACAATCCCTTCAGTTTAGAATACAAATGAAAGGCAAAACATTTGTGTATATATATTAAAAAAAACATAAATACATTTTTCCCCATTTTATTTTAAGATATCACATTCCCTCTGTTCTCAGATGCATAAGAGCTAGAGGAGGGAAAAAAACAGGAGTACACTGAACACTGAGCATACATGTCTGATCATTGGAGAAGAGCAGGCTGAGTCTAGTGTGGTCAGTGTTTAATAGGATAGCAGTGCCCAGCTGGTGCTACCTTCTATACTGACCCTCATGCTAGTCTCTGTCGCCACACTCCCTGTCATCACTACCAGGGGTGTTGGACAAGAGATGCAAGAAACCCCCTCTCCAGCTCAATCTCCACCAGGTACGTGAATACACTGTGTGTAGGCAAAGGGATCTCTATAGGGATGTAGATCTGGTGGAGTTCTTATGTCAATAGGAATGTAGCACCCAGCAGCTGCCCCTGAATATTATAAGCCAGGAGGTGATTTCACAGGGAGTAATAAAAGCTATTTATCACTACAGGAAAAATGTAAAGGAAAAAAATGCTGAGACATGTTGTGAGAGAGATGGAGGTTTGGGGCTAAAAGTGTGTGATGCCTGGCAATACACTTTAATGGATGATTATTCATCAATATTGCAGCATTCGTGGTTTTTTCCGTAATATTGCGCATATGTTGTGGGTAAACTATTTTTTTCTTTTCAGAAAAGCTGAACATTGGAAATATATTTAAAATGGGTTGTAAAGAAGTTAGAAAAATTCCTGCAGAAATGGCATACATGTTAATCCTAAGTAGAACTACAGGCAAAACATTTTTTTTTTATTTTGGATAAAGTAGAGGAGGGTTATAACCCCTGTCAGTTTCTGCATCCCATTGGGTAGATTTCCCTTCACTTTCTGCCCCATAGCCAAAACAGGAAGTGAGAGGAAATCCCTCCAAAGTAAGGGAATACAGGGGTGTTACCAGGGTCACCATAACTAGTGTCCCCATTGGAAGATTGCCCCTCTATTACTGTGTCAACCCAAAATTTGGGATTTACTTTCACTTTTGATTATAACAGTAAGCAGTACAAAGAGAGAGGGCGAATCTCCCTCAGACAGCAACAAAAAGTGACAGGTGTTATAATTCCTCCACACACTATCCAAAAATAAAACTTGAAATTTTGCTTTTAGTTTTATTTAAACATGAGTGGAAGGGTCCTCTGAGACATTGTATCACTAACTGCAGAGAGACTTAGTGTGTTTTTCAGGTTAAATCTTATAGAGAAAAAACTATTATGTTTTTTTCATAGGAGGAAAATAAAGGGTGGGTAGAATGGGTAGATTGTCCCACTAGGAGAACCCTTATTTTTTCAATAGCAAAAAAAAAAGTCGTCTCTCATTCAAGATTTCAAGATTCAAGAAAAAACTAAATTATGTTAGTTGCCATTGTTGTTAGGTCTGTGGTTTAGCACCCTCTACTTTCTTTTATGTTCAATGGAAAAAAGTGAACTATATGGACCCAATCTTTCAACGCTTAAGTACAGGTATCACCATTCCTTTTGCTGAATACATGCTAGTCTTAAAGTCCAATGTTTTAATTTATGATTTCCAAACCCCCCCCCCCCCTACACATTACAAAATATAAAAAAAAACTTTGGCACACCCCCTCCATACTTATGTTGCAGTATGAGTAGCATTTCATAAACCTTATCTTACAATATTATTAAGAGTACATTCATTTTACAATCATAACAATAGTGAGGGGTTACATGAGCAATAACTGTACATGTTTCCTTTAAAACTCAACTTCATCAGGAGTGATGTATGGTGACTACTCTATAATACAAGATAATCCAAGATACACTCACAGGCCACTTTATTAGGTACACCTAGCTTGTGCCAAGAAAATATCCCCCACACCATTACACCACCACCACCACCAGCCTGAACTGTTGATATAAGGCAGGATGGATCCATGCTTTTATGTTATTTACATCAAATTCTGACTCTACCATCTGAATGTCAACCGCAACCAGTCTGCCCATTCTCTTCTGAGCTCTGACATCAACAAGGCATTTTTGTCCACATAACTGCCACATAACTGCCACTCATTATTTGGACCATTCTCTGTAAACCCTAGAGATGATTGTGCTAGAAAATCCCAGTAGATCAGCAGTTTTTTAAATACTCAGACCAGCCCGTCTGGCACCAACAACCATGCAATGTTCAAAGTCAGTGAAATTCCCTTTGTTCCCTATTTTGATGCTTGGTTTGAACTTCAGCAAGTCATCTTCACCACATCTAGATGCCTAAATGCATTGAGTTGCTGCCATACGATTTGCTAATTAGCAGTTTGTATTACCAAGTAATTGAACAGGTGTTCCTAATAAAGTGGCCAATAAGTGTACATATAATCAATCCATATAAATCTATCCAATACCAAATATTTTTGCAAAATATTACTTACAATTTAATGTAAAATACTCTATTTACAATCATTTACTATAAGTGTATTGACCCACACAGTTGTCACATGTTCTTAGAATTTGACATATTTGTTATATAATCATAGTGATAATAATTATTATATATTTTTGTTGACATCTGACAAAACCCAATAGGATTTATATGCCTCTCCCTGTAATCCTTCTGAGCTTTCTTCCTGCTGGCATAAGCAATGTGCATATACTGTGATTATGAATACGTTTTCTTATATTGATGTTGCAAGTAATATTTGACAGGCAAAAATTATTTGGTATTGGGTAATATAGAATTTGAATGGATTGATTATTTTATATTATAGACTGGTTACTGACAATCACTCCTGATAAAGCTTACATTTTCTACAAAATCCTTAGAGTTATTGCTCACACCATTGCTGTGATTGTAAAACGAATGTACTAAAAAAAATATTATAATATGATGTTTATACAATACTATTCATACTGTAGCATTGTATTAAATATGATATGCGCAAAATAGGTGTACCAAAGTTTAACTTTTTTTGTAATATTGTTTTTTATGTGTTTCATGAATTTTAGAAGCTGCATGTATTGAGACATTTACGGTATCCTAAAAGTTTCAATATGTGGATTTGCTGTTTTATTTTTCTTTTGTTTTTTTTTGGGCAAAGCGAGAAGAAGAGATACTTAGTTGGGCAGACATTGAACTAACAGCCTTCATTTAATATCCTTAAAAAAGGTTATTGCAGCATCCAATATAGCAAACTAAATTTGGTGGGGAGCCCTCCATGATCAGGCCACCCTGGTCTTCCCACTGTTGTAAAATGTCACTGTTTGTGATATTTTACTACTGGGTAGAACTGAATGTCAACGTTAAGTTTCTTTTATAAAACTAGCAGAAGCAGAACATTATTTGAAAAAAAAATTATTAATTTCTGCTACTGACCCAAGAAGTATGTTTTTTTTTTTTTCAAATACCAAAAGAAAAATTAGGTACCACTGGCAAAAAAACACTAACTAATTTTTTGTCATTTAAAGTCGATACCCAGCCTGTATCTTATAGTTACAGTACAGTTTTATGTGTTTGTGTACCAATACAAAGGCGGAACATAAACATAATACAAAAAAAAGCAACAGCCAAAAGTTATGTTCTGCATTGTATATGAAGTTGCAATAAGACCATAAAGTTATTACAGTCAGTTTTTTTTTATTTTACTGTTATTTATGGAAAAATGGATGAATTTGTCACTGACATCTACACATCAACTATAGCAAGCTTTAGAAAATGTTCTTTGCAGAACTGTTTAGCACATTGTCTTTTCAA